CTATTCCAAATCATCTAAACGACTTGTCCCTGGCCACCAGGTGATTATGCAAGAGAGCATGGGGAGTTATGGATATTTAACACATGCCCCTGTACAACTCCCAGAGAAGGTCAGTCTTCCCGCAGTTTCCATCAGGATCTCAAGGCAGTAGGGTAATACTAGGAGGTCAGCGTGATGCTGCTTCACTGACCCAACTGAAGAGGTATGCTGCAGGCCTTTGTCTCATGTCCTCTTTTGGAAGCCACTGGGGTGGCTTGGGCCCCTCGTAACCAGCTCTTCCTTGTGTGAGAGCCGCTGAATCCTGTTGGATCAAAAGAAGTGGGTGAGTGTGAGCTAAGCTGGCTCCCTGTGGGCAATGTGGGTTAGAGGGTGAGCACCCAAACACATCTGTAACCAACAGCAGGGAAGAGAGAGTAGCTGGAGGCAGCAAACTTTTCAGCCAAGCCAGATGCTGCAGGAAAGGAGGTATGAACAAAACTCTGGAGCAAGAGCGTGAATAGGAACCTCATCTGCTGAAATATCATTTTGGTGGCACAAGAGCTGGAACTGACCAACAATGTTTGAGAGAAATGAGACTCTGGAAGGTAATTAGGGAAAAAAGCAACTTATCATGCTTTACAGGTAAAAGGGTGATTGAGACCAGGATGGAAATAGATGGAAAACTTATGCACAGATGAAAGCCTCGAAATGAAATACATTATGTATGAGTTTAACAGTTGGAATCTGAGAGCCCCTTGGAGGTAATCATCTGAAAAGCAGCAACGGTTCTGGGCAACGATTTCAGCCTATAGCACAGGCACCAAAGTGGTTACCAGAAACTAGCTTTCCTTTTAAAAGCAAGCTAAACGTAACACTGCAGGACTGGAGTGGCATTCTCTGGACAAGGCAGACGCGGCCCTCCGTCCCCTCCGTCCTCTCCCAGCCCCAGGGGGAAGGGCAGGCCGGCTGCGGGTCTGTCCTCGGACAGGGCTGTCCTTGTCAAGTGGCTGGCAGCGGTGTCCCGTGACTGGCCGTACCAGACGAGAGAGGCTTTGATTTGCAATGCCAACATCTTTTGAAGCGAAATAACTTCCCAGTGCTTTCTGTCGCAGGCTATTTTTCAAAAAGATTTTTCCCCTCCGCACATCTGATCCTAATACAGCAAATGATAACGCAAAGAAGCAGTGTGTCCTGAATCAACAGTTCAGTTTGGGGCCAATAATTTTTTGGAAATTGGAATTGTTCTTTTCTCTTGTAGGAACCTTTCAGTTTGCAGATATCTGGGTTGATAGAAAAAAAGATTTCTTCCAGAGCAAATTCCTCATTAAAGAAGATTAAAAAATGATGTTTCCTCTTAAGCCGCTATTGACAAGAGGATAAATATTCAAACAATGATAGAACAATAATAACAAGATAAATTCAGGTACTGTTGCACAGGTACAGTTTGCATCTGATTTCAGAGCCAGCCTTTCTTGTGTGGCAGTTTCTCAGCTCAGGTTTTAACTTAAGGATCGGAGACCGGCAGCGATTCCCTTCTGAGCGCTATCTCTTTCGATTCAGATCACGTTGTTTACGGGTTGCAGACTCCACAACTGCACACCTGACTTCTGAGCTTTATGGGACTCGCTGGTGCAAAGCCTGGAGCCAGGGGCACCTCCTTTCCTCCAGGCAAGTGCCTTAAGCAACAGCAAGAGCTCTGCGTTTGTTCTCTGTAGCGCAGTGGAAAGGGAATTATTTCAGGCAAAGAGATTTATGGGCTTTTTTTTTTTTTCAGTGGTTCCTTGCCCTGTTGTTGTTTTACGCTAAATGAGACTCACTCCTGTTAACCCTCTGAGGATGGAAAACCAGCAGGGAGACAATGCGTGGGGGTGAAGCTGAGTATTTTAGGTTAAGTTCTTATATACAAAATTAACTTACATGCAAAGAATGAGAGGACGAGATAGAGGGAGTGAAGAGCCGTACTCAGGATCATCTGGCAGACCAATACTCCCACAAGGTCTCCTGAGCCCTCTTCCCTTACTCATTTGACGTTGCCTGATTTAAAGGGAAATCCCAAATGAGAGGGGACAGCGCACCTAACCTTTCTTCCGCCTCTGACACTGAACTCTTGTGACCCTGGTTCAGCTTACCCATAACCAAAAGAAGGTTAAAAGCAGCTCATAAGAAGTGTGCTGCTTGGTGCAAACAGGTTGCCTCTAATTCATATTCAAGGACCATTTTTTGCTGAAAGGGGAGCTGATGTAAGGGGGGCCTTTGTCCCAGCGACAATCAGCTGAGACTGAATGAACTCCGTTAAAGGCCTCATGATTAGAGTTTACTGGGGAAAGAAAAAGCAAATTGCTGTTGCGCTCAGCTTTGTATGAACAAAAACGTGTTGCAGGCACACTTTGATTTTGCTCCGCTTCCTGCGGCGCGCAGGCAGGCTTGGTTAGAAACCTTCCTGCGAGCATTTCTGCCCAGCTCCTGGCTCCCATCGCGGAGCTGACTTTGGTGGTGGCATCCCTGGGCCTCCCAAAGAGTGCACTTCCAGCCAGCTCTGCCTCCGTTGCAGGCAGTTAGGATGCAAATTGTGCTGCAGATTGTGCCCTTTCTTCAGGGAAGGGTTTACTACCTTGGGCGTGAACTTCTGTGATGCTGGGCTGATGCTGAGCTGTGGTGGACACGGAGCTGCGACTGCAGCTCCTACAGTGCTGCGGTGAGGTGGGCGCAACGATGCATGTAGTTGGGAAAGCATGAACTGCACAAGTCAATTTGGGACCCAACATCTGGATTTGGCAGCATGCTGCTGCCTCAACTGCTATATCTTCACCGCTGATACGTGAGCTGGCCAGGCTGGCCCTGTGCAGGGGAAGTGTCTACCCAGGCTGAAAAGGTGCAATACTGCAGTGTGACAAGAGTGGCGTTGGTATACAATTAGGTGGCAATGTTTCCGTGGTTTTACAGTGTCCTTAGAGCACAGCTTGCCCCAACCTTGCTCCTCCTGCCCTGCTGAGCTTGCCCTCTCCTCCCTACCCCCAGGAGATAGGAGGGCTGGAGGTGAGACGTGCTCTCTCTGCCCTTCCTCCACTCGGCAGAGGGCTGGAGTGGAGCGGGGCTGCCACAGGAGCCTACGCTAAGGTGGGACCCGATGAACACATGCCACACTATGTGTACAGTTTTCCCTTGAAGAGTCTTCATCAAGCTCGACATATCTATGTCTAACCTTTTGTGAAAGACTTGGAGAAGCCTTCTCCAGGTGATCTGTTCCAGTTCCTTCTGTTAGGAAGTTTTCCCAGGCCGTCTAAATCCCAAGCTGCAGTTTCAGTTCATCATTCCTCTTCCGCCCCTGAGAGCTGATTATCCCCCATTTAATAGATAGTCTTCCACAAAGCCTGTGCTGGTGAGGGCATTGGATTGAGATGACATTGAACTAGCAGATGTCTATGTCACCTAAAAATGTGCTTAAAAATATCTCTGCCTAAAAATGTTGGGCGTTTCTACATGTAAATATCAAACCCAGGCCAGGAGACGAAATGGAGTCAAAGCACAGTTCACCAGAGCAGGTATTGGAAAGGCTGAATCAAAAGTCTTTGCAGAAGAACTCAACTGGCATCTCTGCCAGATGGGGGAAAAAAAAAGGTGGGGGAAAGTGTCACTGGAGGAATTCAGCTCTGCCTTCAGCTAAACCGTGTCCACCAGCCTGGGGAGGGAACACAGTCCCTGCTGGTTAGCCTTAGGATATGATGTATTAAGTGCTTTGCTGAAATGCTGGTGGAGTTCCTTTACAGGGAACAATGAAGTGGTAGCTTCAAGCCCTGCTTTTTGTCAGCTGTGAACATCACGGGTGACACTGGTTTGTTTAACTCCATGTTCTCCCTCCCCACGTTGTTCTTCCTTATCAGACCTTCTCTTATCCTTAAAAAAAAAAGAGGTAAAAATAGAGCTGATCTTGCCTGTCTTTCCACCCTCTTCAGCCAATTCTCTTGCATGTCTTCCCTAATCTAGGGACTAGAAGCAAGTTTTGCATCTTCTTTGCCAGTGTGACACCTAACTCAGCCTAGCTGCCTGCCAGGTGGGGAGGCTGGGCTGGAGCAGCACGGCAGCACCGTGGACGGGCTCAGGGCTCATCTGCTCCCCGGAGGGGCTGCAGCGCTTTAGCTCCTTTGCTAAGCAGAAGTGGGTCTGTCACAGCTTTGGAAAGTACTACCTGCTTTGGGGCAGCGGTGGGAGATTCACAGTCAGCCCTCTTCCTGGTTAAACAGATGGGATGCTGCCTGTGAGCAGGAAATAAATGTCTTCACAAGGCTCGTGGTCTGACAGGAATGTCTGGAGAAGCACTGATGTCTCTTCCCCACAAGCACCTGTCTTCTGCATCCTCTTCTGTGGCCTCCGGGGTAACTTCTTGTGTTGCAAACAGTCCATTCTTCCTTCCACATTCCCTCCGGATGGAGCTTTTTGCTGGAGGGTTTCCTGCTCCCCTCTCTTCGTTCCTGCAGGCCTCTGTCTTCTCTGCTGTGCCAGTGCAACAGTTTAGGCTAAAAACCAGATCACTTAAATGATCTGAGTTAAAAAAAGTAAAGAGGTTATTTTTTTTTAACCCAGGTCAGGGCAGTCCAGCAGTGTTTTCCAGCAGCGGTCCCACGCAGCTGGTGGGATGATGAACTGCGGTGCAGGACGAGAAAAACGTAGGAAACGTCCAATCCAATAATCGGCTGCAGTGAAAAGGGACCCGGCTCCAGCACACGTTCCCTTCTCTTACGCCAGATCTTGGGCGCACGTGAGAGTCAGATCATCTCGGTGACCCCATGGGAAATGTCCTTCCCTTCCTCTGACACATGGGCAATGGCACTGGCGGTGAGGGAAAGTGGAATTCTCTTCTTTTGAAGAGAAGCCAAAGTTAGATCAGATCAGAGCAAGAGACTCTGCATCCTGCAGGGACGGGGGCGTTGCTTGTCAATGGGTCCTAACCCAGCAGTCATTAGCAGGTTTTGCCATGACAATACAAACGTGGTAATGTTTTGACAGACTGGGGTAGCGCTTGTCACCTGAATAGTGTGAGTTTGTGTCAACGAGCCTATTGCATGTTAAAGGAATTCGGCTTGTGCGTCTTGTTGACTGCATGGAAATGTTTCAATACTGCACAAATGCAGAAGAAATAAATGTAGGCTGCAGAAGTCTGAGAAGAGTAAAATGCATCGTAGATATGCTGCATTACCTATCAGCCCAAGAAATTGTTTTCCTTTGACCAAAAAAAAAAAAAAAGAGAAATGCTGCCAGGATATTTTTGGTTCAGTTTAGGTTATTTGCTAGAATTGTTTGTGGTTAGTAATAAGCACAAGGTTCAGTTGTAATAAAGTAACCATGGTAATGTGATAACACAAGCTGATGTCAGTCTGATTTGCTGATAAGATTTATACCCTTTTATATGATCCAATGCAATTAAGAAATGCTTAGAAAATTAACATTACAATAGATTAAAATAAAGTATCAGGGGCATGTTGAAGGCTGTGGGTCTTAAGCACAGCCCCCAAGTGGATGTTTCTGGATACCAGATCACTCTGCCTCCAGTGGGCTGTGTTACAATAAGCAAAGAAATTGCTTTCATTTTACAAGTAGGGAATTGTAATGCTCCTCTTGATTTCTGTAATTTCCTGCAGCAATTTTAGCGTGACCAATCAGAAATGAACCTAGGAAAAATGACAAGTGTTAATAGGCCTTATTTAGTCTAATCTGAATTGGATGATCAACAGCGGTGGAAGATGGAAACGTAAATGTGTGCCTCAGGATGTAGGGGTTAACTCTCTGCGGGAAGGAAGTAAATGGTGAGATGGGGGTCAGAAACTCTGCGCCTCAGTTTCTCTGCTGGCCAAATGCACAGTGATAATGCTAGCTTTACTGCTAGTCTCTTTATTCCCTATCTATGAAACGGCTCGTGCAAAGGGAACGCAGCATTTCTACCGCACAGAGGAGAATCACAAGAAATGAGCCATTTCATAACTGTCTTCGTTCCAGATGGAATTACACCTCTCGTAACAACCTAGCAACAGAGCTCCTCGTTCGTAGTTTCTTTTCCTTCCTTGCAGATAACTCACTGAGTCTCTCCTTGCAGTTTCCATGTTCATGCTTAGGATGGGGAATCCAAGATTATTTGTTTTTGGAGAATTTCAGCTGATGAAACCAGTGAAGGAACAGCAAGTTTAAGCATGAATGTAAGAGCAAGTCCTTCAGCTGTTGCAGCAAGCCAGGAGAGGAATGGAAGACAGTTTCGGACCCAGAGATTCCTTCATGTGAGAGTCCTATTACTTTCTCAATGCTTGCTAAGAGTTTTGGGACGTCTGGTTCGCTGAAACCAAAGGTTGTCCACTTGGAGATAATTTGGGGATTGGAGGTTTCCTTTGCTCTCGCACTAGTTTTGCACTGGGATGATTGACTGTGGTGTAACTGACGGGAGAAACCAGTCTTCTCGTAGCCTTTCTTCTTCCTTCTTTGCTCAAAGTATCTCTCCTTTACTTGAGGATGAGACCTAACAAAGGAGTCTTTTTCTCCATCCTCTCACCTCACTGCCCTCCTTTGGCTCTGGCTTTCATCTATATTCTGCTACCTCTGGCAGGACTCATTGTCCTCCTGCTGACGGACTTCCTTTACCTCTCCCTTCCTTTTCTCCTCAGCTTCTTCTCTCTCACTGCTCCCTACTTGTGCTGCTGTCCCTCATCCATTCAACTCATGCCTACCACTTATGTGCTTTGGGCTAGGTGGTCTCAGGACCTACATGTGAATGTGATAAAGGAAACTCTGGACCTTCTGCTGTTCTGAGGCCTTTCTGGGCTCTCCCGCCCCTTCTCTCCATGACCTTCACTCTGCTGAGCTTCCTTCTAGCTCTTGCACAGTCTTCTGTGGCCCTGCCCTCACTGTTGGTGTCTGAGAAAACACATCTTGTTTTCCTATTACTCACACACTGTTGACATTGCTTGCTGGCTGACCACTTGCACATCTCCTTCTCCTTCTCCCATGCTGGCCAGCCTCTGTCTATGCGAGTCTCTACTTCAGACTCCCCTGCCTTTCCTCTCTGCTGTTTGCAGTCATGCAGTGAGTTCGGTTCAGTGGAAGCTGCTCTCTCCTCTTCACATGATGTAGGCAGTTGACTGTTTTGGCAGTGCCTGTGTTTTCCTTCCTGTGACTGATGCGCTGGGAAGGATGAGCACAGAAATGTGAGCAAGCAGTACATGAGACTATCAGCATCTTATGCCCTTCAGACTAGAAGGGGTGACTTGGAAGGGAGGAATAGGACAGAAATCTACAAAGTCATAAGTGGCAAAATAAATCTGAACATTGTTTGAAGGTATGTCTACATTGCACAGTGCAAAGTAGTTGAAATAGCTTTGTGTATATATTGCATGAAGCTTTGCAAACAAATTTTTATGAAACACAGAGCTACATGCAAAATCTGGCTAACAAGGGCGAAGGAAAATGTGGGAGCTCTGTGCCTCCACATCTGGAGAGCATAAGCATTCTCAGAGGGCACAGCAAGCCAAGCCCCATGCAGGAGACACAGCCATGGAGCAGGTTTTAGGCCAGCAGTCATGGCCTATAGGTTGTGGGGCAGAGACTGACTCTACTTTTGGGTCTGTTATGGCCCAGACATGCAAAATGGGTAGAGATGCAGTGGTCCAGCATGGGATTGTTTTTTTTTCCTCCCAGTTTTGCTTAGCAACCACAGTCAAGCTTCTCCCCTTGCACTATCCCTTGTCTTTTCAGTGTTTTTCAGCTCCCTCTGTGGCTGCAATTTCATGGTCTCTTGGATCTGGCAGGAGGGATACTGCTCTCCAAACAAGTGTCCCTGCCGTCTCTGGCTGCCTGTTCCTACACCGCCTCATCTCCTCCCTTTTGCTGGTCTGTACAGCTATGTCTACCTTAGTAACGAGGACAGCACAAAGGGAAAGGATTTACCAAGCAATATCGGTGTACTGAGGACCTGCCATCCATGCCACACGTGTATCAAGGGGGGCTGCTTTGGGCTATTCTGGCCGTGCAGACTGAATGCCGGTTTATGAACATCCATTAGAGGTTGGAGTGCTTTAGGTGTGCTCCTGGAGTACATCTCCCCCTTTTGTTTCACTCCAAATGAACTGAGTCCATTTGTTCTCAGATCACTGTGTCATTTGAACTGAAGCACGGTAAGCCAGAGCAATCCAGAGAGTTGATTCAAAAGGGGACTCCTAATCCAAGCTAAAATGTCAACATAGACGCACTGTGTTGACACGGCTGCGTGAAGACCGGATCTGGGAGCAGATCAAAAGCAAAAAGGAGCTTGGACCATCCTCTGATCTGATGTGTGTGGCCTACACACATTTGGGTGAGCATTTAAGAGGGAATGAAGACTGGTCATACGCTACAGGAGGAAAGTGGATCTCCTTTTTAGAAAGCACTTTATATTGGTTTAAAATGACTGAAATAATGATCTATATCGGCTGCAGGACCCTTGGAAGAGGGACCAACACCCACAACGGCTAAAGAGGTATGCTGCATACTGCAATATACTGTCTACTGCAAATAGCATGGGAACAGAGAGACTGATTTCATCTGAGACCTTTCACTACCACTGTAATGCAAACAATCCCAATCTTCTGAGGAACAGAAGGAGAGCAGGAAAGAGCCTTTAATTATGCCCATAATGTCTGTGAGAGCCACTGTACAGTGGGCTCACATCCTTCCAGACAAACCCCATATTGTGAAGGGCTCCCTGAATGCTTTCTTCTTTCCTCTTCTCTTTCTCTCCACCCAGAACATGTCTGGAACTCAGTTTTTTCCTGTTTTGCTACTACCATTTCTTTTCTTTTTTCTTCTGCGTCTGCAGTTTTCCCCCTCCCTCTTTCCACAACATGCCCATTGAAAACCCTAATTGCAGATCTCAGGCTGCAATTAACTTTCCGTGCTGTAGGAAGTTCACTTCATTACGGCTTTTTTGGCTGGTGGACACAAACGGACTTGGAAGCAACGCCTTGCTCGTGCTCCGATCCCTGTTCCTCTGCTTTGGTCAGCACCCCGGCTCAAGAACTGCCATGTCCCTTTCCGCTTTCCACCTCTTCCCCGCTTTCCCTCTCCTCTCCTCCCACCAACTCCTTCATGCAGGGGCCGTAAAAACCACCCGGCACCAAAATGTGCTACCGAGGGGCCGAGACTGAGCTGCGTGCGGCTTCGCAGGTCATCGCGGCGCTGGTGCAGAAGGCGTTTTTAGGGCAGCAGCCCGGCACCGGGCCGGGCAGGACGAGACGGGCTGCTCGCCCGCCCCGTCCGAAGCCCGCCGGGCCCAGCGCTGGTGCCGGACCCCCCCTCTCCCCCCGGGGGTGGGGGGAAACCTCCGCCGGGGCCGGGGGAAGGCGGCGGGGGCCGGTGCGCACCCCGGC